CTGCCAGGAGCCCTCATGCTGGCTGGTCTCAAATCCCGGGAGCCGAGCGTTTACCCATCGACCTGGCCACTATCCCTGGCCAGTCCTTCGGAGCGTCTCTTAGCGGGCCCGGTTTCACCAAGCAGGGCCCATTAACTGCCCGGACTCATGGCTGCCTCCCTCACCCCGAGCCCACCCCTCAAGCAAACACGGACAAACTGGGCTGCTCACCAGTCCTCACAGCCCTCGGCAGCAGCTCTCATTGCTTATGCCCAGAGGGGACACTGCTTCTTCAGGAGTCAAGTGACTCACACAGGCAGAAAGTACTGCCCCCAGGTCTCCCGGAATCAGTCTAGGATTCTTTTCTCTGTCCTTCCTCGCCCCTCGTCCATCCACTAGGATGCAGGACAGGGGTCACCAGTCTGCTTTAATTTCACTGACAAGCACTTCAGCCTGCCTCCCCAGGGCCCAGTGGGCCTGAGCTCTGGCCAGGTGCAGTTCTGAGTCTCCTGGTCCCCAGCATAGTTCCCCCACCTCCCAGGTAGAAATGACCAGACCATGCCTGTGCCCCTGTAGGCCAGATTGGGTTGGCAGGGATCGGTACAGCTTGGGGAGGTACCCGGAGTAGGCCTTCGCTAAGGGTTTGTTCTGGTATCGGGTGGGGGGAGAGATGTTCTGGAAGGCTAAGTTCTTGCCCAGCTGACGCCATCTCCCTCCTCAGCCCCAGCCCATGCAGTGGAGCCTGGAGTAGACAGTCCCCACCAGAGGGTCAGAACAGGCTGCTGGGACCAGCCGGCCTGCCCAGCAGCATCCTCCCATCCTCCTTCTGGGAGTCTGCTCCTGACTGCTTTTTCTCACTGATATTCTTATTTATTTATTTATTCATTCATTCATTCATTCATTTTAGAGACGAGGTCTCGCCAAGTTGCCCAGGCTGGTCTTGAACCCGCGGGCTCGGGCAAACCCCTCACCTTGGCCTCCCAAAGTGCTGAGATTATAGGTGTGAGCCACTGCACCCGGCCGACATTCTCCCTTTAAAAGCCAGCCCTAGCGGGGCTCGGTGGCTCAAGCCTGTAATCCCATGCCTTGGGAGGCTGAGGTGAGTGGATTGCCTGAGCCCATGGGTTCAAGACCCGCCTGGGCAACTTGGTGAGACCTCATCTCTACAATAAATCAAAAAATCAGCCGAGTGTGGTAGCGCGCACCTGTAGTTCCAGCTACTCGGAAGGCTGAGGCGGAAGGATCGCCGGAGCCCAGCAGGTCGAGGCTGCGGTGGCCGGGAGCGGCCACTGCACTCCGGTCTGGGTAACAGAGTGAGACTCCAACTCAAAATAAAATAAAATAAAATAAAATAAAATAAAATAAAATAAAATAAAATAAAAACAAATAAAAGCCAGCCCTGCACCCTGAGCTTCACTCATTCCTAGCCAGGTTCTTCAGGAGTCCTCTACCCTGGCTTTCCTCCACGGCCTCGCCTCCAACTCTCTTCTACCTACAGCTTGGGGCTGCCCACACCATGTCTCAGAAAGAGCCCCACCTAGTAGCCACCTTTGAACTGAACCCAGCACACGCGTTCTTGACAGATCTTCAGCCTCCATTGCAGCATATGGGTATTCCCCTGGCTTCCAGATCTCCTGGTTTTCCTCCTTCCTTTGGGCTGTTCCTTTTCTGCCACCCCGCCCACTCCCGTCTGTCTATTCATCAGTCTTTCACCTGGACCCTTCTGAACGCAGAACTATAGGCCCAGCTGCCCTCTCACTCTTCTCTGTATGTCCTGTAAGAACATCACACCCAACTTGTCCGTAGCAGAGTGGTGTTTAACTTCCCTCAGGGCCGCCAGCCCAGCAGGCAGGTCCAACTGCCATCCAACTGGCAAAGGCAGAAACTCAGGGTCCCTTTTCGCCCCATTCCTCATCCAGTGTCTCCAGGTTTGTTATTCTCTCTCTCCCTTTCCTTTCTTTTCTCCCTCCCTCCCCTACTCTCTCTCTCCAGTCTCACCAGCTTCTCAGTCTTAACTCTGGAAACCCCTCAAAGGCTTCTCACTGGCCTTGTTTAGAAAATTCACACTCTAGGCCAGGCACGGTGGCTCACACCTATAATCCCAGCACTTTGGGAGGCCGAGGTGAGAGAATTGGCTGAGTCCACGGCTCGAGACCAGCCTGGGCAATTTGGTAAGACCTCATCTCTACAATAAATAAATTTTAAAAATTAGCCGGGCATGGTAGCTACTTGGAAGGCTGAGGTGGAAGGAGCACCTGAGCCCAGCAGGTCGAGGCTGCAGTGGCCATGAGCGTGCCACTGCACTCCAGCCTGGGCAACAGAGTGAAACTCCAACTCACAAAAAAGGGAAAATCCACACTCTGCAAAATGACTTACCAGACCTCAACACTATCCACCTCAGCAACTGGCTCCCAGCAAATCCACCCATCCTCAGGTTAAGCTACTTTCAACTTTGTTTTCTGATATATCTCTCTCTCTCCTTCCTCAAGACCCCACCCAAGGCTGGCAGTGCCCAGAATGCTGTACTTCTCTTACCTGCCCCCCACCCACACACAGTCATCTCCAGGGAGACTAAAATCACCACCACCACCCATTCTCACCCTACCTTGCCCTGGTTAGGCCCCTCCTCCTTGCTCCCACATCTTGTATTTCTCACATCAAAAAAATTATTTTAGACCAGGCTCAGTGGTTCAGCCTGAAATCCCAGCACATTGGGAGGCCAAGGCGAGTGGATTGCCTGAGCCCGCGGGGTTCAAGACCAGCCCGGGCAACTTGTTGAGACCCCATCTCTATAATAAATAAATAAGGCCGGGCTCGGTGGCTCAGCCTGTAATCCCGTGCTTTGGGAGGCTGAGGTGAGTGAATTGCCTGAGCCTGTGGGTTCGAGACCCGCCCGGGCAACTTGGCAAGACCTCCTCTCTACAATAAATCAAAAAATTAGCCGGGCGTGGTAGCATGCACCTGTAGTTCCGGCTGCTTGGAAGGCTGAGGCGGAAGAATTGCCAGAACCCAGCAGGTCGAGGCTGCGGTGGCTGGGAGCGGCCGCTGCACTCCAGTCTGGGCGCCGCAGTGAGACTCCAACTCAAAAAATAAATAAATAAATAAAACTAGCCAGGTGAGGTAGCATGTGCCTGTAGTTCTGGCTACTTAGAAGGCTGAGGTGGAAGGACTGCCAGAGCCCAGTGGGTCCACGGGGGGTGGCCATGAGTGTGCCACTGCCCCACTCCAGCCTGGGTGGCGGAGTGAGATTCCAACTTAAAAAGTTAACACTTTATTACCGTTGCCTAATATTTGGGGTCCCACACTCAGTGTGGGCTGAGGGCAGGCAGGATGGGTTCGTGTACTTCGATCACCACAGTATTTGCAGCACCCAGGATGATGCCCGGGACACGGAAGGTATAGGCGCTTCATGATCGTGAAGAGGTAAGGGCTGGCGGGATGTCCCTCTGCTGGGGTAGGAGAGGGTGAGGCTGATCTCCACCAGGTCACCCACACACTGTGTCTCTATCAAGGTATCTCTGGCAGAATCCCCAACGGTGCTTGGCTGCACCCCCACTGGGTGGGTGCCTGGCTGGCTCCTGGGGAAGGCAGTCAACTCTGCTTCAGCAGCTCCAGCAAATAGGCCAAGTGGGGTCTCAGAGTCCCGTGGATAGACAGGGGGGTCAGCAATAGCAGCAGAAGGGACCCTAGGGTCATCCAGGTGCTCCGAACCCTGCCTGGGCACGTGGCCTAGGCCAGGCTGCCATTGGGATCCGCCAGGCCCAGCAGGTCCTCCGCCAGGCTGGTGAGCTCGTTCTCCTCGAGCGCCTCCACCAGGCGCTGCAGTGTGGCGCGCCGGCCCTCGGCCTGCACGAAGCGCCGCAGCAGCTGGAAGGCCTGCTCGTACAGCCCCTCGCGCTCATACTCGTAGGCCAGCGAGTCGAGTGCGGGATCCCGCAGCGCCCGACAGCTCCGCTGCAGGGAGCGCCCCACCTTGCGCCATTTGAGGCCCACCGACCGCGCGAACGTCTGTTGGTCCTGCAGGCTCAGAGGCCGGTTCACTGTGGGAAAGCGAGGTGAGTGCGGGGAACCCCACAGCCAGCACCCTCCCACTCCCGCCCGGGGACGACCCGTCCAGCCCTCGCTCCTCCCCAGACTCCAACCCGACGGTGACCCTGCCTCTCTGCCTGCGCCTCACCTATGGGCTGACCCTGGAACAGAAAAGTCTGGCCAGACTGCGGCGGCGGCTTCTCCTCCGGCAGAGAGGGGACCAGGGACTGCGAAGGGACTGGTGCGACCTCCACGTCGCCGCCCTGGCCCCCCGAGCCGCACGTCAGATTCCGCAGCGCATTCTCCAGCTCAGCGAGCTCCTCGTCCCGCAGCCGGTCGGGCTGGGAGAAGGGACGAGCCGTCAGTGGGGGCCCTGGCCGCGGATCCCCGCCCCACCCGTCCTCACCCCAGCCCGGCCGCACCTTCTGGGCTAAGATGCAGCTCAAACAGCGTTCTTCGTCGGTCAGCAAAGCGTCCAGCCGCTCGCCGCCGGCGCGCAGCTCCAGTTGCAGCGGCACGGCGTCCCGGGCCAGCGCGGCCGCCAAGCTCCTCTGCAGCGCGGCGCGCAGCGCCCCCTCGCGGTAGGCGCGGAGGAAGCGCCCGCAGGGCTGGCGCCCGCAGAATCGCACCTGCACAATCAGCTGCGGGTCGCTGCGGTGGATCTTGAGCATCTGCAGCACGTCCCGGCTCCCGCCGCTCTCTGCGGAGGCGGGCAGTCAGGCGTCGGGCAGTCTCCAAGCCCAGCCATTCTCTAAGTGGCCGAAGGAGGGGCGATGCCCATGGTCAGCCCCCTGTCCCCACCCCCTGAGCTGGGGTGCAGGTTACCCCAGAGAACCCAGTCGGGAAACAAAACTGGACGCAAACAGCAGCAACTCAGAAAGAAGGCCGGAACCTATCACAGGAAGCACCCCAAGACAGAGTGGGTGCCATCTGGTCCCACCTGTGACTCCCCAAATGAGGGCTGGCAAAAGGGATGGACTTAGCACAGAAAAAGAGTGTGTGACCAGGGCAGCCGCGCCTTCTGGGTGGGCGGCCGGCAGGGCAGAGAAGGGGTGGAAGGGAGGGAGTCTCAGGTCTTCGGCCTCCACCAAGTGCGGCTCCCACGGCCTGGGAAGGAGAGGCTGTGGCCACTCTGGGGTCAGAAATAGATCCCCCAGCCTGCTTCAGCCTCCTGTGGCCTCTGTCCTGAGATGGGAAAGGGGGATCCAGAAGGGTAGGTACTCGGGAAGGGGTCGTGGGCAAGAAACGCTGCAGGGAAAGAGGGAAAGAGGAGAGAGGTGCGCAATTAGTAGAAAGGAGCAAGTCAGCTGGGTGGGGGTGACGACCGGGGGGCCGTTAGTTCACGAATACGTAGGTAAGACACAGACACACGGGGACACATGTCTACACTCAAGGTAACACATACTGTAAGCACAGAAGACAGTGCCTACACAGCCAGGGTGTCTTCCATCTTCCTCCCCCTCCCCAAATCTTTTCCCTAATGGTAGCTAAGCCCAGTCCTCTGAGTGGAGGACCTGGAGCCTCCACTCTGACCCACCCCCAGAAGGCCCCAAGCCACCTTCTTCCTCTCCATGTGTCCACTTATCCACGCACCTGCCAATGCAGTCTGCAGTGCCCTGTACACCGCCACCTTCTGCTGGGGGTGCGCGTAGGCATCCGACAGGACCACCTTGTCCAGCGAGGACTCCACAAACAGGTATGCGCTGCCCACCCACTCTTCACGCCCATTTTGCCCAGCAGCCATCTCACCTCCTGGAGATGCAGACAGTCAGGCATTCAGGCCATCCCCCAGCCCTGGAGACAGCTATCCCAGTCCCACGTGGCTCAGCTGTCCCCTCCACCAGAGCTCAACTAGCTGGCACACGTGGGATGGGAGTTCTGCACAGAGCCCTGCCCGTCCCAGACTTGACAGTGAGAATTGTCCCTCCACTGCTTTCTTAGAGAAAGAGTCCAGGGTCACAGTCGAGGGAGAGCAGAGGTAGATCTTGTAGTGGGGCTTCTCTGCCTTCACCGCAGGCCAGTGTGTCTCTTTTACCAAAGCTGATAGGGGACATCTTTTTTCTTCTCCTTTTTTTTTTTTTTTTTTTTTTTTTTTTTGGTTGGAGTCTCACTCTGTTGCCCAGGTTGGAGTGCAGTGGCACACTGACAGTCACATTAGCCTCGACCTGCTGGGCTCAGGGGATCCTTCCACCTCAGCCTTCCAAGTAGCTGGAACCACAGGCATGTGCCACCACACAAAGCTAATTTTTGAAATTTATTGTGGAGATGAAGTCTCATCAGGTTGCCCAGGCTGATCAGGCAATCCTTGCCTCCGCCTCCCAAAGTGCTGGGATTATGGACAAGACCCAACACGTCCAGCCTACAGGGGACATCTTCATTCTGAAAGGTGCCCATGCCCCGAAACCAATCAGACCCACGTCCTGGCCTTGCATTTGAAGTAACTTGAGCCCCCAGGATCCCCGTGGGACCTCAGACCCACCCTTAACTTCTCTCACCTGCATTCCCACTAAAACGCCTGGCTTCATTTCAAAGGACACTTGTAGTTTGCCCTACCCAGATTCCCTCCCCTAATCCTGATTTACCTTTGGGGAATTCCTTCCTCCCTCTTCTCAATCTGTGTTCCAGTGTCTCACTCTCTAACTCCAAGTCTGGGCATGTAATGCAGGCCTGGCCAATCAGCATATTCCATTCACCTTTCTGCAAGGTTAGGTATAGGACCCAAGTTGTACCAGTAAGAATCAACCATGAAACTCTGACTGGACCAATAGAAAAGAGGGACCAATTTCCCTTCCCTTGCTGAACTGGAGGGAAGAGGTCCATTGTCACTGCTTGGGAAGGGCCTGGATGAAGGTGAAGCTGACACAGAAAGAAACAGCCAAGAAGGTGGGGTATGGTGGCTCATGTCTATAATCCCAGCACTTTGGGAGGCAGAGGTGAGAGGATTGCCTGAGGCCATGGATTGGAGACCAGCGTGGGCAACTTGGCAAGACCTCATCTCTATCGGTGGCTCAGCCTGTAATCCCGCACCTTTGGGAGGCTGAGGTGAGTGGATTGCCTGAGCCCACGGGTTCGAGACCCGCCTGGGCAGGCGAGACCTCATCTCTACAATAAATCAAAAAATTAGCCGGGTGTGGTAGCGCGTGCCTGTAATTCTGGCTACTCGGAAGGCTGAGGTGAAAGCATTGCCGGAGCCCAGCAGGCGAGGCTGCGGTGGCCGGGAGCGGCCACTGCACTCCAGTCTGGGCAACAGAGTGAGACTCCAACTAAAAAAAAAAAAAAAAGAAACAGAGCCAAGAGATGGAGAGCTGCATTCCTAATCAAACTATGCCCCTAGATCCAGCTGTCCCTGAAGCCACTGCAACCTGGACTTTTCAGTTAAGTGAGCTAAGTCATTCCCTTTTGTTATAAAGCCCTCGGGTTGGGCTCCCATCTTACCCAATAGCTGTTCTATTACAGATTCCTTCTCTGTCTAGTTAGAGTCAGAGCCCTTTGGTACTAGTATGTCCTCTGTCAATCTTCTGAGAAAGACTAGCCCTAGACCAGGGGGACAAAATTCCCAGCCAGGGAATCACTGCACTGACCTACAGCTCAATGGCCTCCCACTTACTGCCCCAAGAGGTGGCAAATGGAGAAATGCCCGTCTCTTCCTCCCCATCTCACCTGAAGCAACACACCCACCTGTTCCTAGAACCACAGGTTTAAGACCCCAACCTCCTGCCCCATCAATCACACTTCTGTACTCTTTGGACTTCAGCATTTACTATAGCGGGCTAAGAGGGGTGTTGAGTGCTAGATATGGGCAGGATAGATGGTGTGGCCCCAGGTTGGATTTATTTACAAGAAGGACAGGGAGGGAGGGCGGTGCAGGAGCCAGGACCACAGCCTGTACAACACTGGGGAGGGAGTAGGAATCCTGAGCTCAGACCAGGGCTGCACTTCAAATCTGCTCCTAGTACTTGACCCGAGTGTCAAAGTTGGGACAGTATCTAACTGGGCAAGGGCTCTCCAGTATCACCCAGACCCTGGCAAAAGAAATGATAACGTGATGGTCCTACCCTGGGTCTCTACATAGGAGACACATTTTTTGAAGCCCCCCTATCTTTTCATAGAAAACATTAATAATTGTGTACTTATCCAAACCAACAGTTTGGAAATTGACAGGAAGCTAACATTGTGTTTACCTCCAGGCAGGAGGGGGGAAGATGTGGGTGATTTTTATTTTCTTTGTATTTAACAATATTTTGTATTTTATATAAATAGACCACATTTCCTTTGCATTAAAAAAAGCAAAATAGCCGGGTGTGGTTGCTCATATCTGTAATCCCAGCACTTTGGGAGGTGGAGGCAAGAGGATTGCCTGAGCCCAGGGGTTTGAGACCAGCCTGAGCAACATAGCGAGACCTCGTCCCTACAGTAAATCAAAAAACTAGCCAGGCGTGGTGGCATGTGTCTGTAGTCCCAGCTACTTGGAAGGCTGAGGTGGAAGGATCACCTGAGCCCAGCAGGTCGAGGCTGGGGTGGTTGTGAGCATGCCACTCCAGCCTAGGTGACAGAGACTCCACCTCAAAATAATAATAATAATAATAATAATAGGCTGGGGTCAGTGGCTAATGCCTATAGTCCCAGCACTTTGGGAAGCGGAGGTGAGAGGATTGCCTGAGTCCAGGGGTTTGAGACCAGCCTGGGCAACTTGGTGAGACCTTATCTCTACAATAAATAAATAAAAAACTAGCCGGACATGGGAGTGCACACCTGTGGTTCCAGCAACTTGGAAGGCTGAGGTGGAAGGAACACCTGAGCCCAGCAGGTCGAGGCTGCGGTGGCTGTGAGTGTACCACTGCACTCCAGCCTGGGCAACAGAGTGAGACTCCTACTCAAAAACAAAACAACAACATCAACCAAAAAAAAAAAAAGCAAAACAACAAAATAGGGTGAAACTCTGCAGGTGACAAGTGGATCTGAAAGCAGTTAGGAGCCTGCCAAAGAGGTGAGACAGCAGAGGGCCCTGGGAAAGTAAGTGGTCTGGGAAAGGAGAGAGTGGGAACCTACCCTGGCACCCGTCCTCTTTCACCTCTTCCTAGCCTCCTGACTTAGCAGTGTTGACCCGATGGATGTGGAAGTGGGGGTGGCAGAGGGCCACAGCCTGCCCATTGGGCCTGTCAGGCGGGTGCTGGAAACCTGAAGATGGGGCAGTGGTCCCTCACATTCGCTGGTACTAGACAAATGGGGGAAATCCACTGGGGTGGAGGTCGAGAGGTCAGTTAACAGGGTAGCGGAGAGGCAGGGGCCCTCGTCTTCCGCTGTCCCCTTGGCACTTCTTTCCTACTTGCTCTACCACAGAAGCCCCTCCTAGGAAAGTCCCGCGCCCCACCAACCCAGAGTCTGTCCCTCTTTGGGCGGGGCTGAGGCTTCCATGGTGTGTCCAGTGAACGCTCAGTGGGCGGAGACTATGTGGGGCACGTGGGTACCGGTCTAAGAAGCTCTGGCCCTGCCACCCGGGGCGAGCCAAGCTGCATGGCGCTCCACTAACACCTACGGTGCCGGGGCAGTCCCACCTCTGGCTAGGTGGGCGGGGACAGGCGAGCCTGCCACGCCCTGCGACCAGTCGGGCGCGCCCCCTATTCAGCGGCGCAGCTCCCGAGCTCTGGAGAGGAGAGACCCAGGCTCCCACCGGCCCACCCTCAGGGCGAGGTTTCGCACGGGCTGGGGCGCCCCTGGAGGGGGTGGTCTCCGCTCACCAAACTGTTAAGAACCAGCCTCACCTCCCGTCCCCTTGTCACCGGCAGGGCCCTACCGCCCCTCGAAAGCCCTTAGCCGGGACGAGGAGCTGCGGGGGTCGAGTTCTGCACCGCTCCCCGTCTCCCACGGAAACAGTCCAACAGGCCGCCGCCGCCAGCTGGCTGGACCAGCCGCGGGTGACAACCACGCCGTACGCACGCTCCGGAGCCAGGATCCGCCCCCGCTCCCGGCCGCTCCAGGGAGCCCACCCACCCTCTGCACTAACCTCGCCGCCTCGGCTGGGCCTGGGTTCCCACGCCCGCCAGGCTCCGTGCCACTCGCGCCGCTTCCGGGTGTGCGCCGAGACACCGGGGCGGCGCCCCACCCCGGGCCGCCCCGTCCGCCCGCGCGTCCCGCCCCCCGGACTCCAGGCGGCTCCTTCCCGCCCCGCGGTCCTGCGTGGCCAGTCCCTTGCTCCGGGCAAAGCCCCTCTGGTCCGCTGAGCAGGTAAGACACTGGCTTAGACGGCAGGAACGTTAGACGGTAGACCTAACTGCTCGCGGGACAGGACTCTGGGGTTTGCGGTTCTTAGGAGTCCAGAGGGCCTCAGAGTCAGAGCTGCCAGACTTCCTCCAGCGGGGGGGGATGGATCGACACGAGTGCGCCTCCTGGAGACCAGAGTTTTCTGGTGCCCTTGGAAATCCGCCTTGATGATCTCTGCTACTCCCGGGCACTCACAACGGGGTGCCATGGGTCCCAGGTACGCGCCTGGGTGTCTGAAGCCCCAGCATCCACGTGGGACAAATTGCAGGAGAGACCGTTAGCCTGGAAAATTAACTGGCAAGTGGTGTGAAACGCGGTGTACGCAAACCCTTTAGGTACCTTAAAACAAAATTGGCAATTTCAGAGAAGACGCGTTCCAACAACTCCACCCCCTTCCAAAAGCTGAGCTCCGGAGTGGGTCTTCGGAGGTCCAGCCGAACCTAAATTGCCCAGCTGGAGCCAGGACTGCTCGAGGGTCAGGGTCCAAAGTTGAATCTTGAGCCCCTCAGATGCCCGAGCCGGCAGGCCCCAGAACCGCAAGCTTTTCTCCCCCCTACGCCCGGGACATCTACCCAACGAGGCAGAGGTTGGAAGGAGCCTCCCCTCTCTGGGCGGAGCCAGCTGTGCCCCGCTTCCTGATTGGCTCGTGGTCCCTGACGAGCCTCGCTAATGTTCCCGCCTTATTAACCCTGTAGTCACTCTCTAGTGACTGGCGGGGTTAGGATTGGGTTTCTCAACTTGGAACCTATGGAGTCACGCAGAGCATTGTTGAAATGCAGATTCCGACCGGGGTCGGTGGCTCAGCCTGTAACCCCAGCACTTTGCGAGGCCGAGACGAGTGGATTGCCTGAGCCGGCGAGTTCGAGAGCAGCCCCGGCAACTTGGCGAGACCTCGTCTCCACAATAAATCAAAAAAAAAAAAAAAAAAAATTAGGCCGGGCACGGTGGTTCAGGCCTGTAAATCCCCGCACTTTGGGAGGCCGAGGCGAGAGGACTGCCTGAGCCCAGGAAGTCGAGCCTGCGGTGGCCGTGGGTGCCACTGCATTCCAACCTGGGCGACAGAGTGAGACTCCAACAAAAAAAAAAGCCTGGTGTGGTAGCACGCGCCTGTAGTTCCAGCTACTTGGAAGGCTGAGGCGGAAAAATCGTCAGAGCCCAGCATGTTGATGCTGGGGTGGCTGTGACTGTGCCACTGCACTCCAGCATGGACAACAGAGTGAGACTCCAATTTCCAAAAAAAAAAGAAGGAAAAAAATAAAGAAAAGAAATACAGATTCCTGGGTCTTTCCCTTTCCAGAGAACATGATTCAGTGGGTAGGGTGTGAAACTGCATTGTGAACAGATGTCAGGGTTATTCTGATGCCCCACACCATCTGAGAGGCCCTCATGTCCCCAGGCCACAAGCTTTTGTACACCTAGGCTCCGGCATTCTGTCACTTTGGACTTTCCTGAGCCCAGGACCTCCCTCTCCCTCTAGGGTGGAGCTTTTGGGAGTGGCAGAGACCCCCACCCCGAGGCAGACCATGGTGGAACCCGCAGAGCAAATGCCAGAGGAGGTGCTGGCGCTCATCTTTCGCCACCTGTCCCTGAGGGACCGTGCTGCTGCCGCCAGAGTCTGCAGGGCCTGGGCTGCCGCTGTCACATGCAGCACCGTGTGGCATGACACAAACATCAGGTGAGACTGCTCCTCCCCCTCCTGCTGCTCATTCTTCCTTTCTCTCCCTGTGTGGAGTCTTGGGGGTTGGAAAGAGTCAGTGACTCACCCATGTTCAAAAACATAATTACTAACATTTCTTGACCACCATTGTTTTATGTGTAGCAACCATTGTTTCAGGTGCCTTACATATACTAACTCATTTAATCCTCATGAAAATTTTGTGTAGGCCGGGCTCAGTGGCTCAGCCTGTAATCCCAGCACTTTGGGAGGCTGAGGCGAGTGGATTGCTTGAACCCGCGGGTTCGAGACCAGCCTGGGCAACTTGCCAAGACCTCTTCTCTACGAAAACAACAAAAATTAGCCAGGCATGGTAGCATGCACCTGCAGTTCCGGCTACTTGGAAGCCTGAAACAGAAGGATCACCAGAGCCCAGCAGGTCGATGCTGGAGTGGTTGTGAGTGTGTCAGGGCACTCCAGCACTAAAAACAAACAAACAAACAAACAACCTTTGTGTAATGGAGTAGTAGTAGATAGGTGTTAATATCTCCATTGCACAGATAGGAAATTGAGGCAGAAAAACTTAATCACTTCCTATAGGTCACTCAGACTCAACTAGGGGTGATGGAAGTAGAATTTGAATCTAGCAGTTCAGAGGCCATGCCACGACTCCTTAGAGACAGCTGAGAAAGCCCAGTTCCTAAAATATCATTTGACTCTCCATGACATGGTTTCAACCTGTGACAGATACCATTGTCCTACAGGACATGGACCAGCAGGAACCGGGCCACACAGCAGGAAAGCAAATAAAGTTTCATCTGTATTCATAGCTGCTTCCCATCACTCGCATTACCTCCTGAGCTCTGTCTTCTGTCAGATCAACAGAGGCATTAGATTCTCATAGGCGCTAGAACACTATTGTGAACAGCGCATTCGAGGGTTCTAGGTTGCGGGCTTTTAACGAGAATCTAATGCCTGATGATCTGAGGTGGAGCTGCGGCTGCAAATACGGATTAACATTAGCCATGAGGTTTGACTGTACGTTCCACCCCCCAACGGGGGTGTCCTAAAAGAGGGCTGTTCTAAAGGGATAGGACGGGAGTTCCCTTCTACCATCAGCAGCTGCCTCGGGGCAACAGGAATGACGGACAGAGGTTAGGGGGAGGCAGGATGTGGGATGGCAGCTGGAACCCCAGCTGAGAGGTGTGCAAAGGGTTCTCTCCCCCTGGGTGGCCGGGGCGCAGCTGATACCTTTTTTGCACCACTCTAACCCAAGTTGTGACTGTGAGCGGGAAGACATGCTGCCACCAAATCTGTCCGCCTGTCTTGACTACATTCATAATCTACGGCTGGAATTTGAGCCGTCGAGGAAGCCGAGTCGCCGGTCAGCCACCCAGCTGCTGATGGCGCTGGCGGGTCGTGCCCCAGGGCTGAGAGGCCTGCGCCTGGTGTGCCAAGGGGAGAAGCCGCTCTTCGATGCGGGCCGCGACGTCCTGGATGCTGTGCACACCGTCTGCGGGGCCGCCCGCGAGCTGCGCCACCTCGACCTGCGACGCTTGCCCTTCACATTGGACGATGCGCTAGTGCTGCAGACGGCACGCTGCTGCCCCGAGCTTCACAGCCTTTTTCTGGACAACAGTACGTTGGTTGGCAGCGTGGGGCCCGGCTCTGTGCTGGAGCTACTGGAGGCCTGCCCGCGCCTGAGCGTCCTCGGCCTGCACCTGTCCAGTCTGTCGCCCGCCGCGCTGGAAGCACTGGCCGCTCCAGACCGCGCGCCTTTCGCGCTCCTGTCCCTGCGGTGCGCGTGCCCTGAAGATGCACGCGCGTCCCCTCTGCCCGACGAAGCCTGGGCCGCGTTGCACCGCCGCCACCCTGGGCTGGCGGTGGAGCTGGAGCTGGAGCCCGCACTGCCAGCCGAGAGCGTGACGCGCATCCTGCAGCCAGCCGTGCCCGTGGCCACGCTGCGCCTCAACCTCTCGGGGGACACCGTAGGCCCAGTGCGCTTCGCGGCGCGCCACTATACCGCCACCCTGTGCGCGCTCGAGGTGCGCGCCGCCGCTTCAGCCGAGCTGGACGCCGCGCTGGAGGAGCTGGCGGCGCGCTGCGCGGGCCTGCGCGAGGTGCACTGCTTCTGCGTGGTGAGACCCTCCGTGCGGGACGCCTTCCGCGCGCGCTGCCCGCGCCTGCGCACCTACACGCTGAAACTCACGCGCGAGCCGCACCCCTGGCGGCCCACGCTCGCAGAGTGATTGGTAGCCTCCCTACCCCGCAGTCGTGACCTCTCAGAAGACCAGGGGTTGCCTAGGCGCATCCGAACTGCCAGCCCGTTCCTCCGGAATCGGCAACTGTGAGATGGCGTCGGGACCAGTCTG